GGCAGAGCCAAAGGAAACTGARGCAGCGGTGTCCGGCTGCCCTTGGGGCTGCACTGGTGAAATTCTGAGCCTGAAACAGGAATGGAAGGGTCCAGCATTTGGGAAAAAGGGCCTGGTTTTGCCARATAAAATCATGGAATYRTTRGGGTTGGAAAAGAGACATYTTTGCATGGAGCCACAGARCCCTCACATGAGCAGARCTCAATTTTTGTCGYATCTCATGCRACAAAATTGTGSRTGAGTTGGTGAGTCTGACRGAGTTAATGAAGAAAATAAAATTATYGGTTGAGTGAAATGATCTCCAGRGTATATTCCTGTAGYTATTTGATTGGAATTTGGTGCAAGCAGTRGGGCTCAGAACTCAATTTTTGTCGTATCTCATGCAACAAAGCCCTGCTTGAATCCAGGCTTGGCAATAAAAGATGGCAACAAATCCCAAATGCTTCAGAAACATCTCAAATCTATCACTCAGATAAAGAGAAAATCCACCTCTCTGAAGCGATGAAAACAGAGAAAAATACAGGAAAAAAGGTGACGGTCATCCAGACTTGGCAGGCTCTTTAGAACAGCAGCAGTACAATTAATTTCTATATTACACCCTGTGACTAATCCACTTATTTCAGAAAAAAAAAGAAGAAAAAAAATTGRTTGGATGGGTACCAGGTGATTCAGGGCAAAAGAGGTGACCCAAGTGTTATTCTAGGAAATGAAAACAGCTCTTGCTCCCAGTGACGCAGCCGGGTCACTGATGAGTTTCCTCAGCCAGGAGAGATTTCATTAAAATAGACATTTTGTGTCATGAGTCTGAGAGAAAAAATTTCCCAATGTTCACAAGCTGCTGTGAGAATTTTACTRTCTCCTCAGTTTTTGCCATCTAGATAAGAACTGCCAAAAAAATTAAAACTACAATAGGGAGATTCTAGTGCAATTCTGTTAAAAAAGCTTGCTAATGAGTTGGTGAGTCTGAYGGAGTTAATTAAGAAAATAAAATTATYGGTTGAGCGAAATGATCTCCAGAGTATATTCCTGTAGTTRYTTGATTGGAATTTGGTGCAAGCAGTGGKGCTCAGGCATTAARGRACCCCAAARYCATGRCTGGGGRCAGAAGGTTGTGCTCAGCTGATTTATTCAGCTTGGTGTCAATGGATATCTGTGAGATTCCATGGAAAACCATGGGAAGAAAGCAATGAAAACAACAAAAAAATCGGGTTTCTTACCCATACCCTGCAAACCCTAACTAGTTCATTAAAATCTCAATCTACATGAGGATTTGTTATTAACAACTGGGAAATGAATCTACTTGCTGGCTATGAGATGCAGAAACAAAGCCATGTTTATTTATACTCAATTATAAATATTTTTGTGGCGGGTTCCTGGGAAGGAGGACCACAGAGYTGAATTATCTGCTTCATACTCCAAAATTAGAATAGAAAGATAAACAGGACAGGAAATCCAGCATACAAACAAGCAAACAAGAATTTTGTTTTTGAGTTTTACTTCAACCCCAGTTCTGGGCAAATAGATGACTTGGTACTGGGAATAGCATAAAGTCAGGAACTCATACACCCAGTGCAATTATTTACTAAAAAAATATGTACGTATTTGAACTCAACTTGTTTTGGATCCCTTCTCTTCCCATTTAAGAAACCTTCAGGAGAATTGCTCAGAAATGTGAAGTTTTGTCAGAGTTTTGGCCGCTTTCATCTGCTTGGTTGYTGCCCGTGCCCAGTGGGATGTGGGAGAAAATTGGTGAAAAATAAAAGAAATTTTAAAAACATTTTAAACRTCAAATTAAATTAAATTAAATTACATTTCTTGTGATCCCGCAGCCTCCTGGCTGCCAGGGCAGCATGAAGAGCTGACAAATCCTTGACTGAGTGTGAGAGCTGCTTATAACCATCGGTGTGTCATCAACATTATTCTCATCCTGRATCCAAATGTGGCACTGTACCAGCTGCTAGGGAAAAAAAATAACTTTACCCCAGCCAGAACCAAGGCAAGGGTGTAATTAAATCATTAGGTTGATAYTTTTAAGGGATTTTCTCATGGTGCTGCAAGTAAAACATTTACTGGTGCTGAGATGATTATTTGAGTACATAAAACTGAGTGGACAAGAACGTGCTACGTGGTTGAGTCGTGACAGACACACCAGGAGGAAAATAAATAATCTAATACCAAAGTCAGACAGTTATTCAAAGGAAAAAAGCACCAAGTGATGGTTGGTGTGTCTCCTCTGAGGGCAAGGAGGTGACAACAATGAGCAGCCASCAGAAAATTCATTTAAAAAGAGCAAAGAAGTGTCCTTCACGTGCTCCTGGTCCTTGACACSGTTGTGTTTGCAGGCACAACCCTCACTGTGGGATTGGAATAACACAGATCCCTCACAAACCAAACAAAAAAACCAAAACAAAAGGCCAGATAAACGATTTCAGCTTACATTTTGACTTTAATTCTTTGTGTTTTTTAACTAGGACATGAAAGGCAAAAATTCCAGGTCTTGCTTTTCATGTTTTCATGCACCAGTGAGAAATGTTTATGTGGGATTTGGCTGTTTGCATTTCCAGCATATTTCGGTCTGATTTATGAATGTGCACAAGACATTCTGAAAGGCTGAGGAGCCAAACTCTTCACAACCACAAAACATACAACCGTGGAGAGAAAAAAATTAAGTTTTGTGATCAGCAACCGAAAGTAATGAAAATTGAYCAAAACTCTTCCTTCTGGAAAGTAGATATGAAACGTTTTTTACCTCTTGACTGACATTTTGTTGAGAGCTGGAAAGTCTCCTAGTTGAGGTTCAATCTCTTGGATGAATTTGTGGTTTTTGTCTGGTTTGGGGTGCATGTCAGTGGAATATCACAAGCCATTAGATATCAGAAGCCTTTAGAATAGATTGTGTGTTTCAGCCTTAAATATCGCAAACAAAACAAGCTCAGTACCTTTTGAATTTGGATTTATTCAATCTAGAGAAGTGAAAACTTAATGGAAAAAATATCAATTGATACTCAAAATAATTAGAATATTGTATAGCCACAGTTTCAGTCACCATGGTAAGAATAATTTTTATATTTCCTTTTGAGGGATGATCCATTCTCACCAAATGAAATCTTCCTTCCTTTCAATAAAYCTTGAAATATTTCTTGATGCCTCATTCACATTTCCACTTCAGCTCACAAAATTTTGAGGCATTAGATAAATGGTTTTAGAATGGTGTGAGAGGAGAATTAAAGAGGARGAAAATGATAAAACGATTGTGCTGAACAACTTGTGGCATGAAAGTTGAAATTATTCCTTAATCCTTTCAGAGCTGTTAGGATTAGAAAGCTGTTCTAAGGTWTTGCAGCAGAATTTATTGTAGATAAAGATATCACAGCTTCCTGCAAATGGCACAGTGAGGCATTTTGGCAGCTCATGAAATGCAAGGTTTGCCCTGCAGTCACGCAGTGAGTGATGCTGACCTTTGCTCTGATATTATCCCATGTGAAAGCTGCTTCYTCAGTGCCACCCTTGCAGGAAAATCATCAAGGATAAAACCAACAGCTGCCAGGATGGTGACAGCACCAATCAGCAGTGAGAGGGAACTGTCAGCAGCAGTGAGAAGATATTTAGATATTTATATTAAGATAAATTTGATTTCAAGACATTTAGAAGCCCCCTGTGTAGTGTTTCAGAAGGAGGGGCTCCGATCATCAATTGGAATTTTTAATCCAACAGACCACACTCTTCAGCACAGTAAAACATTTGTATTTTAAGCACAGAAACATGAATTTGAAGAGACAAAATAGATTTATTGCTTTGTAAACATTCCTTCCTGTGATTCTAAATTACACTGCTCACAGAACAGATTAATTTTAGCTCAGAAATCTCTGCATTTTATAAATAAGCACAGACTCATTATTGTTTCAAYGAGAAATTTAGTATTAAAAGAAATACTCAGAATAAGTAGAATATTGTGCAGCCACAATTCCAGTTGCCAGAAGAGCCCAGCCCCACGAGTGAAAGTTATGGGGGTCTGATCTCAGCCTATTGAAGATCAGAGCACAAAGAGCTCCAGGGTTAAAGGGATGGCTCCCAGATCAAAGCCASAAATAAGCAAACTCACAGATTCACTGCTTTCAACTATTTGGACAGGCTTCATATTAGCAGGGATGACAACTCAGCTCAGTAAACTTCATCAGCAGAAAACAGTCRAGGGAATGAAATGTTTCTCAAGAAGCCTGGGAGTGTGATCCCAGCTGGAATCATGGGATGATTTAGATTAGCAAAGAGCTTTGTGGTTATCAGGTCCTACCCTTAAACTAGCACAGACATGTCCACTATTAACMATTCCCCAAGTGCAATCAAGTTCACAATCAGACTGGAGCTAATTAGCACAATTCCAGGAGTTACAGCACTAAAATGGATTAGAGGCACCTCCTCTTTGGGACAGCCAGAGCAGTTGCACATTTTAAAAACACAGATAAAAACAGAGCCTTGCAAGGTGTCGATCCATTCCTTCTCATGGCAAAGTTGGCAAAAGCAGATTTTAGTGACAGAAATGCAGAGCCATGGCTTTTCTTGGTTATCTCAGAGCGAATGTGAGTGAAATTTATTCATCTTTCTGATGCCTTATCAATCAGGCTGATCTGAAAGAGAGGCCAGACAAACTTAAGAGAATGAGAATACACAACTTTAATCCAGGCCTAACAGGSCYMCTGGTACATTAGGGCAGACAAAGCCTCCTCCTGAGGCTACACCCAAAATGGACACCGGGTCACAAGATCTTCACCTTTTATAAGTTCTGCCTTATTAACATATTGGGCCTTAATTCTCCAATGATCTTTACAGGTGATGATGTCAACCACCCCAAACTTGCTCCCCCCCAACTCACTGTTGTTTACATATTTTGGGGCTCTCGGGCAGTGAGGTGTCCTTGGATTTGGGATTGAGATTTGGGATTGGGATTTGGGATTGCGATTTGGGATTGGGATTTGGGATTTGGGATTGAGGCTCAGAGAGGGATTGTTTTTTCTAAAGATGAAAGAACGGTAGTTTTAGTGCTGTACTAGGGAAGTACGAGAATACAGATGCATGAAAATAGAGAAACTAAAAATCCTAAAGCATCATTTCCTGGCGGTCCCATCCGGAGCACCCTCTTGTCGGAGCTGCAGGGGTCCCAGCAGCACGTCCACGCTTTCCTCGGCAGCGCTGGCGTCTCTCTTGACCCTGGAGCTGCAGCCCCGGTAGCAGCGCGAGGAGAAATCGCCCAGCCTGCACACCATCAGCCGGCACTTGAGGTACACCGACGCGTGCCGGCTCATGAACTCGAAGGCGTTGAACTTGAACCGAGCAAAGTGGCTCGAAGGGGAGTAGAACGTGGCGTAGGAAGGATCTCTAGGACACCTAGAAAGGGGCAAAAAGGGGAATTAGTCTTCGTGGATGCACACACCACATTCCTGCAAAATTACAGATTAAATCTAAATTGAATCGTAGTTGGGTACTAAGAACACAAAGGGATAAAAATGCAGCTTTCATAGCATAGTAGAGACTTTAAAAATACTGACTTTTTAAAGTCCTATGAAGCAGCTGGAATACTGGCAACTCTTCTTTTTTTTTTTTTTCCAAGAGAAGGAGACTTTAAGTGGTGAAGAGGGAAGAAGAGACTTTTAATAAGTCAGTGCATAGGCACAAAAGACTAGTCTAATGCTGATTTTACTAAAATATTTAACTCCCAGCATGACAACTGCTACTGCCAGTTTTCACTGTCTCATCTGCATTGCTCCCACTACTTTGAGTTTTGCTCATAGGACAAAGAAGAACTAAGTGAAATGCAACGATAGTAGGGTCTAAATGTTAATTTCTTATTTCCAGGCTCATACTRTAAAAATAAAAAATCAAAGATCCCTTTTCACTACCTGTTGATAGTGAATTCCAACCCAATTGAGATTGTCTTTTTTTATTTTAAATAAATGTGGATTGCAGGTGTGCTTCTAACAACATGAAGAAAGCTCTTACCCATTCCTGACTAAGTAATAGGCCAGAGTGTTGAAATCACGAGGGTCAGGTGATGCCACACAGGTGTCCACAGCCACCTTCAGATTGGGATCTGAGCTGTGGAGACAAGCCTGCAGGTACAGATTTTGGTTGAGGTCRATGTAGTAGGGAGAGCTGCGCACTTGCTGCTGGAACGCCGGGGAATCATAGAAAGTGATGTTCATGCTGTATTTTCCAAACTGGTACTCGTTGACGTCCACAGTGTCCTCTGCAGCGTACATCACCTGCTGCCAAGCCTGCCTCAGCATTTTGCAGCTGATGTGTAAGTTGATATTCTTTTTCCTCTTGATTATGTACCCGGAAGACGCGACCCTGATTGTGTTGGAGTAGTTGATTGTATCGTTGTTCTCCTGTTTAACACGCGATTTAAAATCAGGAACCGCACTTTTGTTACACTCCATGTAAATTCTAAGTTTTGCTAAGCTTAACTATGTACTTGAGTGCCCAAAACAGGGAGAGTACCTCTTGTATGGTCCCACAGCCGTTGTAGGGGATGTTGAACACAACCTCCTGTGATGTGACCATGGGTCTGCAGCGATTGTCGTTCAGGGTGAYCCCCTGTGCTGAGTAGCCTTGAGACTGGAGGTAGTCCCTGCTTACCACTACGTGCATGTAGTCTGACAAGCAMACAATGGCTGGTAGAAGAAAATCACACAAAATATTAGTACTTTAGGAATTTGGTAATGATTAGAAGCGTGTTTTTTTCTTAATTTAGAAGTCAGGCAGTTCCCACCCCAACCCATCATACTTCACGCACATCATTCAATTTCCACAAATATCTTTAAATTCACACAAATATTTATTTTGCAAACAAAAGCAATAAGGAGGCTTGTCTAAACATACAAGGAACTTACTGGTGTTGTGACCTGCTGGAATGGAGGAGTAGTGAGCCTGGAACCCTCTGAAGGAGTATCTGGAATCGCTGTGGAAGCGAACACTCATCATGTTTGAAGAGGACACGTATGTGGGAAAGGAACCGGAGCAGAACCTCCCGAGAAGTGGGGAGGAGTGGAGAGGCCCATCATAGACTTCAACGTAGTCCTGCTGGCAYGTGCCACTTTGCATCCTGGTGGGCAAACATCAGCACCTCGTCAAAACCATTTCAGAAACTCAGATTTCACTGCCTAACGTGTGATAAAGTCTTTCAATTTTTAAAGTTTTTTTTTATTGAAAGCCAAATTTAATCTGGCTTGTATGTGGCTTTAGCAGAAAACAGTGAGCAAAAARTGCAACAGCAATCCAGATTTTGATCTGGTCTTCCAGCTATGGATGTTATTGGAAGTATCTTTAAAATTGGGAAGGTTGCCTGTTTCAGATAAGTTTTCAGASTTCTCAGGTAGGTTTTGACTTTGATATTTGCCTGGGGAATCAATGTTTTACTTACGCAATATCTCTAAATGTGAGCGTTACACGGAAATTGTTCTCTACTTGTATTTCCCACACGCAGTCAGCGTCATTTGGATAATCTCCAGGGTAGTTGGGACTCTGYAGCACCCCAGAGGAATCTGAGACTGAGCCACCGCAAAAATAAGGTGCTGCAGAAAGAAATGGGAAGGAATTTATCACTGCAAAATTCTGCAAAAGTGTTCTTTAGCTGTGTCTCACCCACAGCTGTCAAAAAGCAGGTCCCCTGCTGACTGCMGGTGATATTCTGTAGGAGCCAAATCAAAACAAATATTTGCTTTTGCTTTAGGTTTGCTTTCATGATGGATTTGGAATTCCCACCGTGGTGGATTTCCATGCATGGTGTCAGACTACCCTCTTCAGGCTGGGCTGGAAACACCTTGATGCTTTCTGTCCTTTTTTACAGATGAGGTGGATTCTGGGAGGTGTCCTGGCAGTAGAAATGGGAGTGCCTTCCTCAACAGACAGCCTCCCCTGGGTACTCTGCTGGCTCTCTTTATTCCTCTAAGGTCTTTGGAGGGTAAATAAGTTGCAAGTTTTCTAGAAAAATCTAATTTTATGGTATCAGACTGAAATAAACACTTCAGGCTGCTGGGAAAAGTCTTAAGTATAAACACAGCTGCAAAGAGCTGCAGTGTTCCTGTCAGCATGAATGGCATAATTCTTGTTAAACACACAGATAATCCTGAAAGTTCCTCTGTAGGAAGGTGAGCACAAGCTCAGAACATAAATCCTACAAGATGTGACATTTAAAGGTGCTAATCCACTTTATACTCTGCTTAAAAATGATCACTCACAATTGCAGTGGTATTGCCACAGAGACAAAAGACAAATTTAACAAATTGTGCAACAGGGAGACAGATAGACTACAAATTAGAAAGRTGAGAGCATTACCTGATGGAGGTTCTGAGCCAGCCACAGCAGCTGTGGGGTGAAGAAAGAAGAGGCACAAATGAGTATTGTTGCTCATGAGAAAGGTCCTGGGGCACTGACATGCCCTGCCTTGGGGCACAGAGAGTTAAAATGGGGATCACAGGGAGCAGAGGATGTGGGCACAGAGAGCCATGAGCTCCATAGCAGGCCCTCCAGTGCAAATGGAGGGGCTTCTCTGCAAAAAAAAATCTCGTTTCTTCCAGTCATATTCCCAAAGATGGAGCATGTCTAGGAAATATTCTGGTACTACCCATGCAGGAATTGAGCCGATTAAGGCAGAATGAAAATGTTGCCTCTGCTTACAGTGAGAGGCAATCCTCCACAAAGAGTTTCATTAAACCAGCAATGCTGCAGACTTCCTGCACTCAAAGCACAGCTGCCCCATTTGCCAGCTCTTCTCCATGCTCTGTT